TTTCAGAGTAGTAATTGCTAGTTGGTGTTAATGACGATGATAGGGTCTTAATTGGAAGTGTTGGTTTGTTGTTAAATATTGAATGTTAGAGTTCTAGGACTTGCCTTTAGTGTCCGCTATTAAGTATTACTATTTTACCCTGTGTTTGTATCCTTTTCCATTATACTCAGTATTCGTACTCCTTTCCCGGATTTGTATCCCTTTCCGTCGAGAATCACTTCCCCTGCTCCCAGGAGGACTTGCACCCGGACTGAATTTAAATGAGAGGCTGTGGGAACTATATGAACCCTCTCAAAACAACAAACCAGCACATAAACTATGACTTTAACCCAGCAGAACCGCACTAAATCACCCACCCTTGACCAGAGCCGGATTCCGTCCTGTCACCATAACACAGTATTGAGCTTGGAGGATACCCCTAAACTACAAGCCAACATCACTTTCCTAAGGACTCTTGTGAGTGAAGGAAGCCTCTGCTTTGCCAAGAGACAAAGCTGGAAGTCCCAGGGGCAATTCTGGGGTGTGCTGAAGAATACTAAATGTACTCTCCTCCCCAACATTTTATAGGGGCCAGCCTGCTGCAACGTTCTGGGGGGGGATTTGGAGCCTTAGGGCTGCCCCTTCCAACCATTTCAGAGGGAAACGTTGCAATTGCGGGGGGATCCTCCTAAACTTTGGGGCCCTCTAGTGGAGTACTGCGGCCTCCTGAGGCATCCCCCAGTCTCTCACTGCTTAATAAAATCAGGTTCGAGGCTCAGTTGCTCCACAACTTGTCGGTGCTCTCCTGCACTGCCTCGGGTTCTGTGCTGCCCCATATCCAGCCCAGATCTCTTGCCCCAGACCCAGTGACCCGCCCCGTTCCGTATCCCCGGTCAGAGCGGGGCGCGGCCATGATCAATGGCGGGCAAGTCCCACAGGGAGAACGAGAAAGGGCGGGGCCTACCCAGAAAGGCGTGGCTCGTGGCTCCACCTCTGCCCCAAAATGAGCGACAGCTCCATTAACCAATACCACAGCGGGAGCAGGAGGCGGGCTTCGCCTGACAACCAATGGCAGCGGGGGGCTGGCGGGCAGGGCGGAGCGGCTAACGGCATTNGCCATGCGCAGCCTGGCCATCGGCCTCAGGTGGGCACGGGGACACTGGGGACACTTGGGGACACTGAGAGACACCTGGGGGCACTGGGAGACAGGGATGTGGGTGTCAGAACTGGAGTGATGGGGATGTGGGGGTGTCAGAATGAGTGGAAGGGGGGGGATACAGGAATGCTACGCGGGGACACGGGGAGGGATATGGGAGGGGGATAAGGGGACGCCAGAAGGACAGGGTGGGGACAGGGATGTGGGCGTGTCAGAATGAATGGAAGGGCAGACACAGGGAGGGACACAGGATGGGGATAAAGGGGTGTCAGAGCTGGGGTAATGGGGACAGGATAAGAACAGGGATGTGTGGGTGTCAGAATGAGTGGAAGGGGGGATATAGGGAGGGACACGGGATGGGGTTAAGGAGGTGTCAGAGCTGGGGGAGTGGGGACAGGGATGTGGGAGTGTCAGAATGAGTGGAAGGGGGATACAGGGATGCCACACAGGGAGGGACATGGGATGGGGATAAGGGGGTGTCAGAGCTGGGGGAGTGGGGACATGAGGATGTTTGGGGCTGGGGAAATGGGGGTGTCAGAGCTGGAGGGAAGGGGACAGGAAGGGATGGGAGTAGGGTAAGAGGGACATGAGGATGTCAGAGGGAGAGGAATGGGGATATGGGGTTGGTGGAGCTGGAGGGGACAAGGTCCAGGGCTTGGGGACGTGTGGTGCTGGAGCTGGGAGGCTGGGGATGGAGAACATGGGGACAGCAGTAGGGAAGAGGGACACAGGTCACAGAGCACTAAGAGTGGGACATGGAAGTGATGGGGCTGGGAGAATGGGCACAGCAGGGACAAGGGTGGTGGAATGGGAATGGGGACATTCCTGGACATACAGGAGCAGGGGTGTGGGGACTGCTGTGATGCCAGTGCAGGTACCCACACGCCTCAGAACTGCCAACTCTGATCCGGGTGAGCATCGAGAGTGGGCGCATGACCCACCACCACCCCACTGGTGAGTGCCAGCCTGGCAGGGCAGGGGAGGGCAGGAGGGGACAGCAGAACCCCCCTGAAGCCCCTGTCCCCACAGGGTACCTTGGAGCACTGGCTGTGGCCCTCTTTGGGGCACTGGGGGCTCGGGGTGAGCCCCCAGAGCGCTGGGGGGCTGAGCTGCTGCGGGTCCTGCCCCTGGCATGGGACTACGTGCAGGGCACCGGGCTGGCCGTGGAGGACAATGCTGCTGCCTGGCCGTTCTTTGGGGACGTGTGGCACCGGTAAGGGGGCACTGTGAGGACACTGGGAGCACAAGGAGGGGCTGGGGAGGATACTGAAAAGGTGACTCAGTCCATTAGTGCCACTGGTGCCAGCCAGACTCTCTGACAGTCCTGGCAGGGCATTCCTGCAGTGTCACTGCTGACCCTGATGCCCAGTCTGTCCCTGCTGCACCCAGTGTACCTCATGTCACTCCCAGAGGTGCCATCCTTGGGTACAGTGACCTCTGTGTCCCTGGGGTTCCTGGGGCATTTAGTGTTCTTGGTGGTGCTGGTATCCAGTGCCTTGCTACCCCACGGGTTTCCTGATTGTCCCGTGTCCCTGCAGCTATCTGGGGTCACAGGGGTGTGACAGTGTTTGCAGGGGTCTTAGAATGAGGGAAGAGATAAGAATGTTGACTCTATGTCTCAGAAGGCTTGATTTATTATTTTATGATATATATTATAACTATACTAAAATAATAGAAGAAAGGATTTCATCAGAAGGCTAGCTAAGAATAGAAAAAGAAGATAACAGAGGCTTACGACTGACCGAGACAGTCT